ATACCGCCTGTTTTAACAGGATTGGACTGTCTTAATTTTTCTGACATAGGCCTGGGGTAAAATTATTTTTTAGGCATGCCACACCCACATACATTTTTCTTTGTAAGCTATGCTATAAGTTTTGCTTTTATTGTCTCTATCTCAGTGCCACAGATGGAATTCGACTTTGGCAGATAGAGCTGTGTGATGATGACTTGAAAAGCTATGTATGTGTTCACACTGCATTCTCTGGTGATTTTTCCTTGATGACATTTTTCTAAGATTTTGATTTATTTAAATTTTTCTAAATGCAAATAATGTTACAACACTTAAAATACTTTCAAGGTTGCAGTGCTTAAATGAAAAGTCAACCTAGGGGTTGTTTTGTTCTTGTTGCTTTCTTTAACTTGTTATGCAGCCATTATTTGTAAGGATGTACCCAGGGGCGTAACTTGGCCAATAGTTTTGGGGGGGGGGGTGAAAAGGGTTTCTGCCCTGCAAAACTGAGTGGTGCCCTGCAGACCTAGTAGCAACGGTTTGTCTATAGGTTACTAGTGAAAGCTTTACCAGTGTACACTGGTCTTTACCAAGGACAAACTTCTAAGCAATAGAAACAAACTTGGAATTTCATTGCCTATGAAATTTCTATTTTTCTACGTGAGCGTAAATTGTTTTTTTATATTCACTTCATTTAGTGTTGGTTTGCAAAATTAAGCTAATAAAGAGCTAATTGGGGGGGGGGGTACATGATGTAGACAGCGCAACGAAATTTAGCCCAGTGGGGCTAAAAGTCGAGTTTAGTGAGGTAGGAGGACCCACCATGGTTGGGTCCGACGTGAAGAAATTTTTTGAAATTATACCTTGTAAAAGGGCTGAAAAGCATCTTTCAGACAAAAATTTAGCAAAATACTATTGTGCTAAAAGAACTGATTGTTTATTGAAAATATTATTGTTGATTGGGAAAAATAGGAAGGGGGATGTCATGCTAAAACTCTAGTGTTAGACGTTGGGGAAGGAAAGAAACGGCAACCTTTCGTTTCAGATTGCACGTAGTTGTGAATGACAGAGGAAGATGTTGTTTTGATTGGGAGAATTTTTTTTTCCTGAACAGAAATGTGCAGTTTCTTGTGTCAAGAAGGCCATGTTTACACATCCAAAATTAAAACATTGCAATGATACAGAAAATGATTTACTGAATTAATGCAAATGAAAGAAAATAATAAAAATTTACGTGAAAAAGTTAGCAATTCGATGAAACAAAATCGGTATCTTAACAATTTTTTATGTTTTTTAGTTCATGGACTGTTAAAAAGTAATAGAAAAAATGATAAAAAAATCCTATCTTGACCAAAGTGAGGGACTTCAGCCCCTTATTCCTCCCCAGTGACGCCGTGCTTGTCATGAAAATAATTTACAACTTAAATTAATTTATATGGACTCAATCTTGCCCTCATAAACATATGCATCAATCATTGCATCCATTGGCTATGACTTTCGGTAAGGAATGCTTTCGCTTTGCTAATAACGGAGCTCTTCCTGACATACCTGTTCCGTTCTCTAAAATGCAATGTCAGGAAGGAAGGTTTATAACAAATATAATATTTCCATTTCAAAATTCGTGAACGGCCCTTTACGAACTTCATAGGTGGCATTTCTGCGTGGCAACAAAGCTCTTCTTGGCGCCCTGCGAAATCTTCGATTGCCCTGGGAAATCGACTATTCTTTGGATTGGGGGGGGGTGTCACACCCCCCCACACCCCACCCGGTAGTTTCGCCCCTGCCTCTCATGCTTATATTCTGAATTGTGTAAGGCAAAGAAGTTCTACATGTAAAAACTGATTTTCCAAAGTTGTTTGCAAATATCTTAAAATAATAAAAAGTATTCAAAAATTTCAAAGTGAGTTCGTTCTCCTTGGAGCAAAATCTGAAAATTTCCCTGACAAGCATTTCAGAAAGCAGTTTTTTAAAGGATTAAAGCACCACAGCATTTTAGTTTCTTTTATATCAGGAATGTCTAAAGAATTTGAAGGATTTTTCTATATAAACCCTAAAATGAAGGGAAAAACTTCTGTAGAGGTACAGAGGAGGGTACACTTTGGGCTAAGCAAGCAAAAAATTTATGCGACTGCGCCCTTAGATTAGCTCAAAATACATTAAAAGCTTGCAGTCTTTAAAAATGTTTTAATTTTGTCTAAAATATCAGCCCCCCCCCCCCACTCAGGCTCTATTTTCAATGCATATTTGCACTTTTTTTCAGAAACCAACCTTCTGAGCAAGGGGGGGGGGGGTTGAAGCCCTCCTATGCCACCTTGCTAAGCTACTGCATAGAAGATAACAACTAAAACCTAAAATAGGCGAGCAAGAAAAGGGGAGCTAAGAAAAGTCACTACCAAGAAGCCCCCAGGGGTTTTTGGAACAAGGGAACAAAAATGCCAAAAGTGGTATACATACAGGAACATGGGAACAACTTAAATTTTTCACTGGGAACATGGGAACATTTTCCTAGTTTAAGGGAATGAGGGGAAATTTTTGACATTTTTCAACAGGAACACGGGAACAATGGTTATTTTTGTCAAAGGGAGCACAGGAAAAAGTACCCCCCCCCCTCCCCGGAGACTCTCACTACCACCTTGGTCGGGCGTGGGTTGTGACACGCCCACACACAAACTGCGCGCCTTTACATATTGGCCGCAAAAAATCCCTAGATTAACTTAACTAAGATTAACGGTCCCTAGAACAACAAACAGTGTATGATTTCAGGCACACATTTTCAAATTTTCAAAGTAAACTTGTCCGCGCAAAAGAAAAAGTTTCCAGTTTGCCTTGCGACGAGCCTGTACCTTGTCACAGCCAGGGGTGTAGAGCTGTAGGGCTGAGCCCCCCTTGTTAATGCCTGAAACTGGCAATTTTCTACTTTTGCTATTGTGTTTTGAAAAAATTTGTGCAAGAGCCCCCCTTGTTACTTTGATAGCACTGGTCACAGCCTCAGTTGAGAAGTGGTTGTGTGTGCCCCTAGCATGTTTTGAGCAATTAGCTTGAAAGGACTGAAATAATTTCTGGATTCATACCTTTCTTCTGCATTTAAACCAGCGTCAAATGAAAGGCTTTGCAGATTTGCCGTGATATCTCCTGACAAAACCGCCATATTGGATATCTGTTTGTGTTGCTGTTGTGGTGCTATATCCAATGATGTATCAGGTTCAGGTTACCAAGGTTACAACGAGTCTTGGGATGAACTTCAATCCCCAGGTTTTATATCCCTTCTCCCCGGTTCAATATCAATATCGCTGCTACTTGAAAAAATACTCTCCAATTTTGATGGGGGGGGGGACAGTGGCGGAAATTATGTGGGCATGGGGGGGGGGGGGGTTACAGCTCCCCTATTCAGCGTTCTTGCGGAAAATTCGGGCTTTCGGCAAGTTAAACTTCTGCCGCTATATTCATAACTACACAGAGTTACTATATCAAACTATTGAGATACAAATGTGGTTTACTGAACTTACGAAAAACATCGCAGAACACGAGGAGAAGGCAATATAATGATAATACTACCAGGACAATGTGTAGGTCTGGCAAAGTCTATCAGTGAGAGATTTTTCTCTTGCCTCTCAAAAATCTATATCTTTCTAAACGTGGCTTTACAAATTTACCTTTTTTAAACTACTTTATATATGTTTCAACGTTTCAAATCTATGAGACCTTTCGTCATCGCAAACGTCTTTAGCCTACCAATGAAGTTCTCATAGAGCTTATGCTAAACACTTTTGGCTCACATCCATTTTTACCGATACTTTCTCACGTTATTATTGTAAGTTATTTATTCATTTCTGAAAACTGCCAGTTGACGTTTCAAGACCTACAAAATTTTTAGGGTCGACCATTTTTAGGGTCCGAATTTTTAGGCGTACCCGATATCTTTACAAAAAATAAACAGTAACTTATGAAGTTTTTATGGAGATACATGGCATCCGTAATTAACGAGAAAGGATTTAAAAAAGAAATTTCAAGGGTATCCAAATACTATTTGAACAGAAGTGCATGAACAAGAATCCAATTGTCAGGCAAAGGCAATGGTAAGGTTGTATGACTGAAAATTTTCGGGGAATGCGAGTCAAATTCAATTTTCTATAGACATACTAAAAACAAAGAAACTTCTATACATAGTTACTATATCAAACTATTGAGATTCAAATAAAATTTACTGAGTCAACGAAGATAATTACGATATCATTAAAAGTAAATACACTTGCATTAAAGCAAACGCAACAAAACTGCAAGGAATATTTCGAGTGTTAAATATTTGATGGCGTAAAAGGTTATGGTGCGTTAGGGGGAAGAGGTCGTGTTCATTGCAGGCATTAAGTATACTTTGGTTGAACAGCACTGTAAATGTTGTCCTATCTGATTCAGACCAACGTAGGGCGTAAAAAGGATCTTCAAGTCGCTGCTACAGCCTCCTTGTCTTCTTTACAACTTTCTGTTTACCTGATGAAGAGTTATGCCTGAAATATTGAAATTACTTTTAACTTCAAAAATGGCAGAGTCTTCATTTATGTATATTAATTTTTGGTCAACTCGAGAACAGTATCTTTCGACAAGAAAAAAATATAAGCCATCCAGATTTATTAGCCGTTTATAAATATATACCTCGCAAAAGTCTAGAAATCTGCAGCTCATCAAAAAAGAAATACGAAAAACTGTCCCATTTTATTACATGTGCAAAAATCCATATATTAGCCACAAAATTTAATTCTAAGAACTAAAAGTCATTTTTGGATCTCCGAAAAAATTTCGTCCCGTAACTCACATTAAAGATTACTATTTTATTAAATAATAGAAAAATGCATAAAAAACTATCAAAAATCGCTGCTGCATCCAAACAGAAGGGCTAACAGGTAACACAGACAAAGGTGAGCTGGAAGCATTCTGCAAAAAATGAGCGGGGTCATGCCCCCTGCCCCCGGTCCCCGTTGCAGGTATTTTCGTCAGGTCTTTTTGGGATTCGAGAATATATTTCATTGTCTTCGAGCAAACTTCCAATGGGTCCCATGCGTAAGACCTAATTCCTGAGAAATGAAGGCCGGCTTTTAGGACCGCAGCTAATGAATAGTCAAGCAGATGTCGGCTTTCAGCTCCAAATAACCGCATCGTGTAATGCACGAATACAATACCAACTAAGCAAGTGGAAAAATTTCAATCTTTTTACGAAAACATAATTTTCGGATACTAAATTTTCATGCAATTAAGCCAAAATCGTTGCTAAAGTTCGAAACGGTAGCCTGTTAGCCATGCCATTACATCCACAGTAGAGATTTCGTCTACAAACACATTTTAATATCAAAATTTTAGCTAGAATTCTCAGTCTTCGGCATCAACAGGACTAACCCTCCAATCACTTTTCAGCTTGATCTTTCCTGGATCAGCAATCGGGAGTTTAAGCACTTTTTTCCTCAACACTTTGTTGTAGAACTGGCACTTCTTCAAATGTTCACCAATAGGAGGTTCATCAGTGAAGCACCACGTATCAATCTTTGAGAAAGCCGGTGTGAAAAACCAACGCTAAAATGATAAAGTGGATTCATTTAAAGAGGAAAACGGAATGGCATCTTCACCAAAGATTACTGGAAAATATTCGTCCTTCCTCTGGACAGTACATTGAACGCCTCGTTCAGAAAAACAATGGTGCAGTTTGGACACCAAAGATAATGCAACTTTGGCGTGCCACTTTAATTTAGGCTGTTTTGACCACTATGAAGGGCTCTGCGTTCCCAAAGTTGATATTCAGCCCACGGTTTCTAAAGTTATCAAGTTTCTCAGTCTAAATTCAAAGTAAATCAAAAAGTGTGTCTATACCAAAATTAAAGGTTTCTGTTAATAAAGAGCATATAAAATATAAACTTTACCGCTAATAAAGAGCATCACTTAAAGCCTTTTGCTGAAATAACCAAGAGAAACGTGAGCAATAACTTTTCAGGGATGATAGGTAGATAGTTTAAGTTTCAGAAAGACCCACCACTGGCAAATAACTGAAAATACGCTTGCTAATTCAGATTTGCCTCAATCATGCTTATGAAAGCACGCTTTTTAAAATCATGTACTCTCAAACTTAGACTTTTCTTTTGTTCATGATAAGTGCAAGGGGTTTTTAGAAACTGCTTCACTTTTTAAACATGCCTTAAACCTTTTGTTCAGATTTAACGCATTTTGAAGCTTCTAATTAGCAGACATCTCTCAGTGGTAGCATTTCAAGCTCAATACCTGACTGGCATTGTCCTATACTGTCTAAGTTTCAGCAAATCAGAACTCACCTTTCGACGAACACGCCAAGTTACTGAACCATCAGGGTAATATCCTCGTTCCCAGTCGAAAACAACTATACCTCTCTGTTGAAGCAAACTACGACAAACTTCACGTGCGGTTCTACAACTCTTCGAAAACTGGTTGATACTGAAACTATCAAGATACATCGCTATTTTCTCAATCAGTTCAACTGGCAGGCACAACAATGCAAACTCATTACCAGTCTCCTGTTTTCCGCAATTAAGCACTTTCGTTGGTCTTATACCAAAATTATCTATATCGTGATCAAAGACAACAGAAGCCTCCTTGCTACCTGGCCTTAGTCGGTTTCTTATGTATGTACAACCGTATTGGGCCAGGGGGCAACGATGCTGCGTCCAGTAGTTCAAGCCACCATGAATATCATCATGAACATTTTTAAAATGTGAACAATACTGATCTCGTCTGAGACTAACTTGGCATGGAATGCTATACATAGGGTAGGTACTTTGAAACTTTGGAATTGTTTCAATCACAACATTCAAACCCAGACCTTCCGTTCGTGCGTTCTCCAAATGCTCCAAATAACGTCGGGGAAGATTCGGTACTTCACTTTTGGCATTACATATCAAAATCGCTTCTTTCTCGGAATGGAAATCCGCTGACTGTACATCTACACTGAACACAAGCTCTACTTCATTATTATCATCGATTTCTGGCAGCGTCTTTTCTGATCCTTTACCAACTAAATCAGTTTCCTCGAATATCGGTCTCCTGTGATTAGACTTCCAGGAACCGTTAAATTCCAAATCATCTGATTTACTTTCTTTTATAGTGCTATTCAATTTTTCTTCTATATACTTTTCTTTTTCTTCTTTTAGCTTTTCCAATGAAACTTTGGATGGCAAATTTACTTGGACTGGAGTTTCCCGTGTGTAAGTTCGATCGTCTGAACATGGCTTATCCAAAATATTTTGTTCAGGCCCCGCTTCTTTATTCGCATTTTCATTGCTGTTGGCCACTGAAGATTCCTCTCTATATTGTTCGGAACCTAATACAGAATCAACAAGAGCGGGGCCGTTAGTGACAAAATTGTTTTTAGACGCAAACAAGCTCGCCAACTGGTCTATACGGCCTTGATCTATCTTATTTACCTCACGTCGTCTTGACACCTTCCATCTCCCTATCATCATTTTCTTCTTCTTTTCCATTGCTAATTTCCTTTGATCGCTCAAAGCAAATTCAATGTCGAGTTGTCCTTTTATTTTTGGAGGGTTTATTTCAGGGAAAGGAATCCAGTGCTCAATCGCCTTAAAACAAAAAAGCCATTAGATAGTAAAGGATAATAAAGGTGCACAAGACCTTCTAGAGAAAAATGATTTATACTTAATACAAATTTTTCATTTCGATATCAAAAGAACACAGTGAAGATTCCAACCGGGGAACTTGTTAAAAAATGAGTAACGCCTGTGATATAAGCAAAGCTATAAGTTGGAATAAGATTGCCTCGTAAAGGCCATATCTACAAATGTTCTCGAAGGGAGCTTGTGTACCCAATTAATATAATAAAAACCCTTTGTTTCTAGTGAGCAATCACAATCATTCAATTTTCCTATAGTACTGCTGGGTTAATCAAATGCTGCTCTTACATTACAAGAATCAGTTTATTTGTGAATGGCTAAGAAAGTATAAAGGTGCATACCTGCTTAAATTTATTTTCAGCAAAACTATATAGGTTTGTGAGAGTGAATTTTTCCTACAAATGATAGAAAGACTTATTTTAGTTCTTTGGAAATCAGAAGTGCGAGCTGATTTTCAGTAAACATACTTCTCGTAGAATTCATATAATTGAAGCTGTGCATGACAAGCTCTTAGAATGGAAGACAATGTGAAATGCAAAGTTTTATAGATGTATAGACTTCTAAATCATTACAATTTGCTTCTTCATTTTTGGAGTTTTTAATAATCTGTGAAATTTCATTTTCTGAGCAGAAACAATGTGTGAAAATGGTAATTAATTTGTGAATCATAAATTGCAAAAGATATTTTTGAGCAAAAATTGTACTCAAAAACAAAGTAATACACATCAGTACAAGAAAGAAATAAAAGCTATTATAAAACATTAGCTAACTATAACTAATCTGCATAATATGCGGTCTGGCATTTTTTAAAGGAAGAACTCACATCTTAGTCCAAAGACTATGAGATGAGAGCACCATATTCTGAAGGCATTTTTTAACCATTCTTGGAGTGCTATAACATTTATAACATGGCCCTAACATGATATAAATTCAAGACAAATGGCTACTGTTTGCAGTAGGATTGTAGTAGACACATGTTAGATTTGGGTATTCAAGTTCTAGATAAACCAAAAGTTTTCTACCATCAGAAATTGTTCATTTGAAAAAAACAGCTGCTAGACTGGACTTTGTGCCATTATTATGTACTTAAATGAAAATAAATCAGTCTGGCCAAAACCAAGTGCTTTATGTCTCAGTTGTTAGAGGCACTGACTACAGACCCAAGGGTCTGTGGTTCTAGTCCCTGGCATGACCCAACTTTCACCCAGAGTGAGGAGAGTCACCAGCTCTCTGTAATTCCAGGCATAGGAATCTTGAGGTGTGGTCACATCGAGAGGAAGGACCAGGAAACTGCTTGATAAGCATAAGCATCTCAGTGTCCTAAAACCTACCTTCGAATGCTAGGTAGAAACAAATACAAATGTGATTCTCTAGATGGAGTGGTTCTCTTAAAAAAAACTTGACCTTGTCAGAACCAAATGTTGCTTTACTAATTGATGTTGATGTTACTTATTAATGTAAAAACTATTTATTACTTGAGTACATGATATTAAATGTATGTTTACATTTTATATCTTTATAATTACAACCTACCCTTGAGTAAAGAGGATACCGATTCCATTCCATGGCACATTGGACCACATTGGCTGGGCAAGTATCCAGGTGCTTTGCGACCTCATGCGTTGGAACTTTGCTGGAGCAGCCGTAATAAGCATTTGGGCATGGCCTAGGCATCATTGCACAGATTGTCTCGTGGTCATCTATTTTACAGCTATGCATCTGTATGTCACAATAAAGGCACCTTGCTTGGGTGCAATTCTGCTGTTCTGGACAAAGTTTTTGATAACATGTCTGGCAATGCAGGTGCAAAATGTCACTGTAATCATAGACAAGAACTCCTTCTTCCATCACGAAAAGTCAATCTACAGGTGATAGGTTACTTCATTCTTTTGAAGCTATGGAAAGAAAAAAGTTACCCATCACTGTTTTGTTTGTTCCTTTTCTAGTCAGTTCATGAATGGCTATTGATTGAGCCATATCTTGGTAAATATGAAGACATTTCAGTTTATAACATCATTCTCATTTGTCAATCCCTGAATAGCTTCAAAAGACAAAAATGTGATTGGAATGCTAATGTTGTTAGATGCTACATCGCCTAGAAATTTCCATTCCCAGAAAGTTATTAAGTATCAAGAGGCAAAATTTTGCCAAAAAAACTATACTTTTACTTTTTCAGCATTAGTAGGCATTCTAACTCTGCCTTCTTTGACAGACATAGTCTATAGCAAGCACGTAAAAACAATATTGATTCGAATTCAGCCTTCTTCACAGTAGCATCTCACCCCTGCAGTGATGCCATCAACCTCCTAGATCAATCAATCTTAAATACAATCATGTACAGTTCTTTTTCTGTAATCTTTAATTTTAAATTATCTTTGTGTAGTGCTGTATTTTGTATGTATTTAGGTGTAATGTATTATGTAGAATTGTATTTAGGATTGATTGATGAATGATGAAAACTGATTGATGAATGATGAAAACTAAAACCCTGATCAGATACTGATAAAGATTATTTATAAACAGTAACCGGTATTTGCACCCTTTAATGCTTTTTAATAATATGTGATACTTTATAAGGACGGCTTGTTCTTAGTAGAGATTACTTACAGGAATCAAAAGGGCATTACCTTCTTTATTTGCAGTAGGCCTAATCCTTCCTGTTGCACATCTGCTAAATACAACGCGTGATTTCGTCGATCCGATGTTTATCATCAATAGCGAAACACCATTGTGGTCAAAAACAAGCATTTAGCAATATTTTCTATAGTTAACAACAACTGATGTGTGAAAAATTGGTGAGAACTCGCAAGAAAATAATTTTCTGTAAAAATATAAAGATAATGCAGATTTTACAGCAACAACAACATTCCTGTAAAGCTGTTTTCGATTTGCATTCTGCCAGTGCCGTTTTTCCTTTGAATCACATTTCCTGACAAAGAGGGTGACTCCCTGTTTTCGAAACGGATTTTTTTCCAAAGGGCTTTGGCACCCCCCCACCTTAAGCCCTTTTATCTATCGGTCATACTACGCTAAGGTGCAGGGTATTTTGTACAAAACAGTTTTAATTAATTGAGTTGTTTTGCTTGTGTACATATCTATTTTCGGCACCACCCATTATCATCAAGGGTGCAGAATTGCCCTTTTTCGTTCTCATTTCTGCTTTCATTTGCGTCACAGTAAGAAAAGGTAATTTTCCATTAAACCCCCAACAGTAGAAATTCCTTAATAGACTTCCGTTAAGGTGCGACAGTCATCATCAGAATATTCTCTGACCTGTTCGTTATTTGTTAATTTTAGCATGCCTGTAACTATTTATTTGAAGTGTTAAGGAAAGAGCTACGATCAAATTGGATGTTTTCGGACCCCCCAACTACCTTGGAAACTTATCAGTATTTCCAGTAACATAACCTGTGGAGGGGCTAGAAAGTGGAGTGGCACGGCCAAGGCTTATGCCTTGTAAATGGCAATTAAAGGGTTCCCGTGGGTACCTAAAAATGTTAGGAAGACGCCCGGGGATTGCATAAGCGTAGGTTACGAAGGGACTGGAAGGGCTAAAGCCCCTATTCAGTCTAATTTTATCACATTTCAGGCTCCATTCGGGTAGATGAAGCAAAAGTATCCAGGCAAGATCCATACCAAGCCTTCCTAAACAGTTGTTAGCATCTGCTACGCCCTTGAAGACCTTTACGAAGGCCTTTGTAAAAGGCTAAATTTAAGATCAAGTTTCTTGATTTCAGTTATGAAAGAAGACAGGGTAATTGCAAAAAAGTACTTGGGAACCAATACAAGATAATAGTGGACTCTTTAAATAACTCAAAGTGCACAGGTATGAGTAATAGAAGAAGCAGAAAGAGTCCAAGTCAAGTCAGCAAAAAGAAAATGGATAGTTTAGTGGTATGAGAAGGTAGTGTCCAAAGTTGCCAACATCTAGTGTCAAATATTTGGGTAAGCTAGAAAAAATGGGGGGCCTGCTTTTTTGGTACAGTTAGTCAAGCAAATTTGTATTTGCAAGGGCTTTTGGACAGGCACACTTACGTTACGCATCATCAAACTGTGTCAAGGTCAATACTTCATATATACAATGAAAATACAGTTATATAAGTGGTAGCCGATTGGTTCAAAATTTGAGAAATCAAATATACTTTCTGGCTCTCTAATTATTTCCGCAATTGCATATAACTCTCTGTTAAAATTACTCAGACTTTGTCCTAAAGATTCCAAACTAAATAAAAGAAACACCAATTAATATAAGAAAATTATAAGATCGAATTTGGTAAATCTGACATAAAACTACATTTATACAATGGCTCATACATTTTTTACAGGTTTACAAGTCAAGTATTGTGGATATTACCATAATAGCAATATAAAAAAGTCATGATTCTAATTAGGGAAAACCGATTTCTTCACATTGGCAAAACTTACTCCAACAACTTTCAAAGCCCAGAGTAGATACACAACCAATACACCATAATTCACAAGCAGTGGAACAAGATACAATCCCCGAGAGTTCAATACGGTCTGCAAATGAAAATTGTAGTTAGAATTGGTAAACACACACAAAGCATCATATGAAGAAAGGTTCTGCTTAATATAGATACTTACAGTTGCTGAACTGCAGTTCATTTGTGAAATAATTATCCATCGTAAAGCACTGTTTTGCATGCTCTTTAAGGTACACATCATCTTTTGATTACCCGTTTGAGGAAATAACCCTTCCCACTCAACCATTTCTAGCTCATAAAAATCACACTTAATTTTGCTATTTACAACTTTTGTAAAATGCAACAGATTATTTTTTATAATTCTTCTCTACATTCTTACTTCCTGGGAAAAATCTAGCAACGTGGAGGTGATTTCCAATTCCTTAGTGCTTATTTTTCTGTCAACAGGGCTTCCCCCTCCCACTCTTTTGCAAAACAATAGAGCTTTTTTCAAAATCTTTTGTTATGAGTGTTAAATTTTCCCTTGCCCTCCCCCCCACTTTCAACCTGTGTCGGAACCCATGGTCAAAAATGAACAAATCTCACAGGATAATTGCGTCTTCTCATTTAAAAAAGTAGCAGTCGATGTTCAACACAACCAAGTATAGTGAACATAGAAAATAGCTTAATGTGGGTATATTTGCAAGAATCAGGTCCATGTTTGCCACCAAATTTTTAAACTTGCTTAAACAAATCAATTAATGCATGCATGTAATGTATGTATGTATATTAGAAACTTCTGGATTTTGGAGAAACTAGGTAAAGATCATGTGACTGAAACAAATATACAGATCAACTGGCATGTTTGATGTACAACTCTTTAAAGTGATGGAACAAAAAACAAGGCAGGGGAGTTTTAGTCAAGTTAATACTATACCACAATCTGGAACAACGAAAAGTAAGGGTCCAAAGACATAATTCTGAAACTTCACAATTTAGTTGGGCATAATAAGCTATCATCATAATGTAATGAAATTTGGGAAGATATTTACATCAGCAGATGGTTATTGTTGACAGATAAATATATAAATCTCAAAAGATTAAAAATATATTTGATTAAGAAATGAATCTTACCAGCAAGGAGACTAACATATGAGACAGAAGAACACTTGTTAAGCGGAACCAGCACCTTTTCTCCAAGCCATCATAAAACAGAATGCCCCAACAAGTGTTTAAAAGCACAAAACAATTAGTCAGCAAGGCTGAAACAAAGATGATCAGGTTTAAATAAATCATTTGAGTGAAGGTCCTTTTGAAGTTAAGTTTGCCAAATTATAGATCCACAAATTTACTATCAACAAATTTACTATCAATAAATATATCTATAAAATATTATTATCAACAAACCATTTAATGCAGGGCTTGACATTTATTGGGGGATGTATGATGTTGAATGTTGGCGAAAAAAACTACCTATGTGGGGATTCAAATCACATTTGAAACTTTTCTCAATAAATTGTGACTTGAAGTCAATGAAAGCACTTTTAAAATAATTCCTTCACAAAAAATTGATACCTTGAGCATAAAACTACAGTAATTAATTCCTATCTCCAACAAATAAATTGATTGTTTAACATAAAAATAAGAAAGTTCATCAAGGACAAACCTACAAACTAGAAAAATTCAATAAAAATCACAGATCTTTGTCTTAAAATAAAGCTTTCACAAGGAAACGTTTTGAAGACTAACCTGTCACAACAAGGAAATCTTTGTAATCTCCGTAGAGACCAACAGTTCCTGGACCAGTTATATCAGCCATTACATTAACCATTGCGAACAAACCACTCATGATACCAAAGCCAAGACCAGACACTATCATTATAAAAAAACATAAAAATTCATCCTTGCAACAAGGGGTGTATCTGAGAGGTATCATGTTCCCATCATGATCCCCATTTTCTGTCAGTTGTTTAGCATTAGATAGTCTTTAAAATCTACTTGAGTTTGATAAAATTTGAAAAATACTATTTGTCTTCACTGGTGGATTTCCCTTTTCACACCCTCTTTTCAGGAAAGCCAATGTTTGCCATTGCTTGCAGCAATGAAACTCATCTATCAAAACATACATTTAACACACATTCAATACTGCATAGATGCTTACTCTTTTATCATTGTTGTCGAAGATACAGAATTTTTTTGGATGATAGAAAGCAAACAAGATAAGTAGGGCAAACAAGAATTTAGGACCTCTCATCAAATCTCCTCCTCTATATATTATATTTTAGAATATATAGAGAAAGAGTTATCATGTTAGGAAATGGTAAATCTTTCAATCAGGGAAATTGGGCCTAAAAAATCTTATTTAGCATGGGTGTTATGATAATTAAGCAATTCTATCAACAACAATAAAGCTAGCCTTTGAACCATCACTGGATTTCTGGTAGCGCCCACCTTCACCTCTTATGTACATGATAAACAGTTTGTTAATTTCAAAATAAGTCACACAGACTAGTTAGATAACAAACAAGGGTTTATTAAAATTATGCAAAAAATACTACCCAAAGTATTTATATATTCACACATATATTTTCCTATGTAGCAATATACATTTATGCAGAGGGTTGGACAATTGAGTCTCCCAGGGTGACTGGTTTATATCTGCTAGAGACAACTTATTGTTACACGAGGTAACCAAGAAGTAACCAAATTTTCACTGGAATTTTTCACCATTGTCACCAGAGTTCCGTTTTAGGAGACCACAGGCCATATGCATGAGACCACTGAAAGGGCCGCTGGTCTCCCACCAGGAGCCAACCTTATTAATGGAATTTTCCACCCCTGATATGAGTTGGTTTATAACATCAAATTATATGTATATTATATATATCATACCTGATGATAATAAAAATACAAACAAATGATTACAAATTAATCTGATATAAAGAATGATTGTTACTTGCTTACCATAATGAAATCTCAATTTCCTCAAAGGAGAATGTGATCCTGTTATTGAGATGAGTCCTTCCTCTGCTTTCCTATTATATCAAAAGAGAGAAAAAGGTTAAGATAGTGAATTTTCTTGCTATCACGAGATCATTAAAACTTGCTGTAATAATGGATCCTATATGCTCCATAAAAGGAGCAGTAAAATCAGAGGGGGAAGAAAAGGGGGCTTAGTCCTCAGGATTACTTTCAATAGGTTTACTTAAAAACCATAAATGAATAATATTTCTTTTGGTTTCTAGGATACTCCCCTAAAACAACTTTGTCTCTCATGGAACATGCTCATGGTGACTGTTAGCAAGGACATTTTCCACAAGATAATAACATGGTGAGACAGTTGCCAGTTCCTTTCAACGAAGTGCTGTCAATTTTTGCATGAGAGAGGCAAATTTTGACACTGCAGTGGAGCAGCCAAAGTCATGACAAATTTCCCTTCAAAGTTAATTGGTAAATTTTCTGTCAGCTCTTCAACCATGTCCTTGATTACCAGTCCTTTGTCTGTCTATGATGACAAAATGCCTTTCACTAAACCTACATCCTTTTCTTTCAGGTTTTTGTCATTAAAATTTCTATAGACAATTAGTACAGGGCTGTTGCTGTGATACTTAGTACAGGGCTGTTGCTATGATGCAAGTCAGTAAAAATTGCCTGTTTGTTAACAGTGTTAACTTCCGAAAATCTTTCTTGCAAAAAAGTTACAGACTCTGCTGGGTGAACCTAAACAAGCAAAGCAAAAATTATCAAAAAACGTTTTACCAATCAACACAAACAAGTACGCCTGACAAGGAAACTTGTCAAGGAAAAATTGTCTGTGTGCATGGGACTTCAAAATTGAAAAATAAGAGTTGCAATTGATTGCTCACAGTTAGTGTCAGAAAAGCTTATAATTTAGCACTTACTTCAAAATCTTCCAAAATGCCAGCCGAAAAAGTTCTTGAAACAGAACTGAAAATGTAACACCGAAAACCAAATAGCTTTTCAGTGGTACAACTGCTATCCAGAATAGTGAGGAAAGAAAAAGAGCCAAAAGCCAAAAGAATGAACTGCAAGAAAAAATACCATTTCATTAGACGAAAAATACCATTTCATTAGAATAAAAGCCATATTTTGCAAGTG